ATAGCCGGGCATTGTGGTGGGCACCTGTAGTCCCAGCTACTTGGGAGGCTGAGGCAGGAGACTTGCTTGAGCCCAGAAGTTGGGAGGTTACTGTAAGCTGCGATGCCATGGCACTCTACCCAGGGGGACAGCTTGAGGCTCTGTCTCAAAAAAAAAAAAAAAGACTTGGATCTTTGGGGCAGCTCCTGGGGCTCAAAGGAGTAGGGTGCCGACCCCATATACTGGAGGTGGCAGTTTCAAACCTGGCCTCAGCCAAAAACTGCAAAAAAAAAAAAAGACACATAGCTAAGAAAACTTGTCACAGAGATGAATTCAAAAATTCAATGCTGAAAGATTTACACCTTTTAATTTCAACTCAAAACACTTATTCTTGAGTATAGCAGAGGTACAGAACTACTTTATTCTTCAAAATGCAAGAGTCCAAAGATTGTTTTTTTCTAGAGGAGACATTTTGCTAAGTTAGAAGGTAAAAATGAATCCTGTTACCAGAGTTTCTTCTGACTCTCAGCTTGAATGGTTTTCATTTGGGTGACTGTTTTGACTTACTGTCAAGGCAACAAAAAGGTTGTTATCCTTATTTGCTCATATGACTTTCATCCAATGACTTAGCAAATGTGATTGTTTAAAAAGGGGCGGGGGGAGAAGGTGAGAATTAATATATAAAATTTAAAATTTGCAACTGACCTTTAACTGCCCCCTTCCAAAAGCAGTCAAAAATCCATGTATAACTTTTTGGTTTTGGAGACAGAGTTTTGCTCCGTTGCCCCAGCAGGAGTACAGTGGCATCATCATAGCTCACTGCAAATCAAACTCCTGGGCTCAAGCGATCTTCCTGCCTCAGCCCTCCAAGTAGGTGGAACTACAGGTACCCACTACTACATCCAGCTAATTTATTTGGGGGTGGGGGGAGACTAAGTCTTAACTAAGTTGCGCTCAGTAGAGTGCTATGGCATCACAGCTCACAGCAACCTCAAACTCTTGGGCTTAAGCATTTCTCTTGCTCCAGCCTCCCAAGTAGCTGGGACTACAGGCACCCACCATAACACCCAGCTATTTTGTTTATTGTTGTCATTGTTGTTTAGCAGGCTCCAGCTGGGTTCAAACCCACCAACCCTGGTGCATGTGGCTGGCAGCACCCTGAGGTATGGGCGCTGAGCCACATAAAGCTAATTTTTCTATTTTTTTTTTTTTTTTTTTGTAGAGACAGGGTTTTGCTCTTGCTCAGGCTGGTCTTCAACTCCTGACCTCAAGTGATCTTCCTATCTCAGCCCCCAAAAGTATTAGGATTACAGATGTGAGCCACTGTGCCTGGCATACAACTTTGACTTTCCAAAAACTTAAACTAGTAATGGCCTACTGTTGACCGGAAGTCTTACCAATAATACAAACAGTTATTTTTTTTTTTTTTTTTTTT